CCGTATTGATCAGGGTGTTGTGAATAAAATGGACAATTTCTCAACAGTGTGAATTGTTTTTTTTTTATATTTTACTCGTCAGTCTGGTCAAATAACACACACCCACACACACACGGCAACACTACGACTACAAGAAAAAGAGTTTGTAGAGTTTGACAGTGGCCTATAATGACTCTTTGAGAAGATTACCGTGCCAAGATTTTGTAGTGGCAGTGAAATGTTTGTAAACTGTGGTGTGAGATTCTGTGCTGTCACGATTAGTTATTGTATTTATTCATTTCTGTGCAGAGCCGAGAATCTGAACAAATCATTCAGACTCCAGTGCGTCCAGTGAGGAGCTGTAAACATTATAACATGCACTGTATAGTTACATTTTAATTCTTGTTTATATAGACTTACTTACTATGAACCAAATATTATGTGTTCTTCATAAAGATTGAATTGAATTGAAATATTTGGGGTTTCGATGCTTCTTGAGGACGCCACATACCAGAATTTCCAGACTATAAACCTCTACTTTTTTCTCACACTTTGAACCCTGCAGTTTATACAACGATGTGGTGAATATATGGACGTATTATTTGTTTATCAACACAGCGGATGTGCGACCGGACGGCACCACTGTCTGTACGACTGAACATGAAGCTGCAGCATTAGCGAGTGCTATTGTCAACACTAAAACAGTTTATCACCATGTGGTAAAATAAGTTATGATGCTAAATGAACATTAGTGAGTGAGGTACGTCTTAATGACTTGTATGTGTTAAATGCAGGTGAGTGTGTCAGTGACGACAAGAAATATCTCAAACCTGATCGATATGTTTTTGATTAGTAACAGCTTGTCAAAGCCTGATCTCGTCAGATCTCAGAGGCTCATCAGGACTGGGCCTGGTTAGTGAGGGAGACACTGGGAAAAATCAGGAGCCACAGGGGGGCGCCAGTGGCAAAAACTGTCACTGTGTCCTTAGGCAAGGCACTTCACCCACTTTGCCTAATATGAAAGTGGTGTGTGTGTGTGTGTGTGTGTGATGGTGGTCGGAGGGGTTGATTGTGCAGATTGGCAGCCTCAACCTTCCGTCATTCTGCCACAGGGCAGCTGTGGCTACAATAACAGTTTGCACCACCAAGTGTGGAGTGAATGAATAATAATCTGTAAAGTGTCTTTGAGACATATGTCTGTGAAAAGCACAATATAAATAAAAACGTACTTATCCATGCGTTTGTCTCCAGTAGGTTAGACACTGTAATGTTCTGCTCACTGGTCTCTCCAAACGAGCTGTGAGATGCTGCAGAACATCCAGAACATCCAGAACATCCAGAACATCCAGAACGCTGCAGCTCGGGTCCTGACTCGAACTAGGAAGTACGAGCACATAAGTCCTGTGCTCAGGTCTCTGCACTGACTCCTGTGGCTCAGAGACTTTAAAGCAGCTCTGTTTGTACAAGTCTCTCCATGGCCGAGCACCAAAGTCCATCTGTGACATGTTAGTGTCGATCGCCAAGGTCGTGTGGGTAGATCGCCTGCGTCTCGTCTCGGACTCAATCGCGTTTGGACTCGGTCTTGTCTCTCACTCGAGGTCTGACACTCAACAAGTGTGATCATATTTCATTACGGCCGCTGCTGTTGGTAATAAACTTGTAGCGGGTGCAGGAGCGTGTGGGGCGTCTCAGTGCAGCCTGTGCGCTCATTTGAAACCCGCGGAGACTCTACGGCGCATCACAAACACACACGCTCCCTATGCACGGCTCGTCTGCGACAGCGTGTGCCCTCGTGTACCAGCGTGCATCACAGGGCAGGTTCAACTTCCTAAACATCCTACCTGTCCATCTGCCTCACGTCAGCACGCCGCCCCTCGCCTTTTCACGCTCTCGCTCCTTCCTGCGTACAGCCAACACAAGCCCCTCCCACAGTGCGGCTGATTAGAAGAGCAAGACCAAACGTGAAGCAAAAACCAGTCTAAATTTGTGTTCCAGTGTTGGCACAAAGCAGGTCTACAGCATAGAGCGGATCTACAGAACAGACCTACTGCCACATTTGGCTGAAGTTTGTCTAACAAAAGTGACAAATGCATCTGTGTTTGTCACGATGTGCGTTTGGTTTGGTAAACGTGCAGAGGCTGGTAAATATCACTGCAAAACCAGAAAAGAATGAAACTCCAGTTTGGAACTTTAAAAAAACAGGTTTAAAAATCTTCCTTCACTTTTTTCACAGTTTTGTGTAAAGTGCCAGAGGAAGTTCTCTTAAAGAAGAGGTTCTCAAACTGTGGGTGAGGGTCCAAAAAAGGGGCACAGAGTGTTTCAGTGCAGTTTGCTTGACTTTGTATTAGGTCGATCATTTTGACTTGGTCATTTTGTAAGTAGCTCGTATGCTGAAAAAGTGTGAACACCTCTGGTTTACGGTTTAACCTTTGTTTTGGGACTTTGCCTTGGAGGAAAACAAGAATAAACACGCAAAATATTCACAGAAAGATCACGTCTGTTTTGGAAACTACCCCAGCTCTTCCCCCGACTGAAAGCTTTTAATATACAGTAATACATCTTTATTCTCTGACAAATCTCAGACAGCCAATCTCCCAGCGCAGTGTTTTTATATTCATTTAAGCGGGCGCACATGTGTCTGTCTCTGGTGACAACAGGCTGGCGCTCCTAAATGAAATCTTCTCTTATTGGATGATATGATTTGTCAGTAATTGAGCTAAAGAGTGCGGCGGCTGCTCCGGTGGTGTGGGCTAATTAGAGGAGAATAGGAACGCGCTGGATTTATCTCTGTTGTCAGTGCGATGTAATGAAAGCCATTCTTCTCCGGCTCCCGGCGCGATCGGCCCCAAACTCTCAGCAGCTGAATCCCGCGAAGGCCGTAATGTGAGCTTTAAAGGAGCGACGTCTCACTCGAATAGTTTGTACGAACGGGACAAGAGTGTATTAAAGTCGCAATGTACTGTTTAACTTTGTGTAACTTTACAGAAACGCTCCTGGAACAAATACTGAGGAACGTATTTACCTGCATTGTGTAGCTTTTCTGTTTTCTGGAGATGTTATTGCTTTGCCTGGAATGTTTCACAGTATGGCTTTAACCCTTTTCAACATCATGAAAACCAAACCAGACCAAGTTACAGGTCAGATCTGCGCAAAGGCAACCTCGCTCACAGTCAGAACGCCTGTTTTTTGAGGTAGTTTGTCCGTGGAGTGTGTGTGTGTGAGTGTTGGCGGTGGTCGGAGGGGCCGATGGCTCAGATTGGCAGCCACACTTCTGCCCGTCTACCCCGGGGCAGCTGTTATTACCACTGGGTACGGAGTGAATGAATAGTGATCTGTAAAGCGTCTGTGATAACTTTAACTAGTATTCTGGGATATGGAATTCCAAACACACGTCTTGTGATGTATCTGGGAAATATATCGGATGTAGTAAGGAAGAACCTCGGAAGTTGTAGACGCGCACCGGCCAATCAGTGAAGAGCCGTGAAGCCATGACGTCAAACTCGAGCGTCTGTCTGGGTCCATTTTGTGGAACAGCACAACAGTAAACAAAGCGTCGAGACGGATGTAGACGAAGGCAGACATTCTGTGTTGGCGACGATTCCCGAGATCGAGGATTTAAAGCCGAATGTTTGGTGAATTTTATCAAGGGAAAAGACGTTATTGTTCTTCTTCCTACAGGATTCGGCGCATTACAAACGTCACGACCAAAGAGCAGCGATTGGTTAAATAAAAAAGCACCTGCCTACTGTTGAGCGAACAAATCCTAATGCTGCGAGGTCAGACGGTTTCCACGAAGTGAAACAGGTTGATGAATCAGGCTAATTCTTCTCCAGCTCCCAGTCTGATTGACCCAAACTCAAGCAGTAATATAAAACTTTACATAATTTTAAGCCAATGATAACTTCTTGGGTTCTTTTTAAAGACAATACATCGTTGACAGTTCTGAAGACGGCTTGCACCTTGCAGCCGAAACATGTCAGCAAGGTAAATACACTTTACTGCATTGTCTTTAAAAAGAACCCAAGAAGTTAAAATGTATATAACTTTGCCAAAGCGCTCAAGGGACAACTCTCCAAATACTGAAGAACAGTGATCGCCCAGCCCCTGCTTCTAGAACTAAATTTGTCATTCATTTTCCCCATAAATTCTCCAAAAAAATGCAACAACCCCAAAAATATTTCAAAGCCTGAAAACTTGCTGGGTAATATTCAGCTCTGTGTTAACTAATGAACACTAGACCTATTACTGTATTTAAAATCTGTTTCTGAAACTTTATAAACCACAAAGTTATGAAAGTATGTCATGGAATCTTGAGTTTTAAGTGTGCTTTTTGGATTTAAAAAACAATATTATGGATTTTATTTAGCTGTTTTGCCTTTGCGATGTTTTTAAACTCTTAATATTAAAATGTTTTGTCGCTGTCTCTGGGAAAAAATGAATGAAAACTGTACTTTTGGAACCAGAGAAGGTGGTCACTGTTGAGTTCCGTTGTGCATGTTCAGAAAACCAAAGTGCTCAGAGAAAAACCACCAAGACACAGTGAGAACATGCAAAACCTACAGAGAAAGGCCTAGGTTTGACTCGGGAATTGAACCTAGAACCTTCTTGGAATGAGATGTGAGAGAGAGAGAGGAAAGAGAGGTACGATGACGTGTGCTTGGGAGAAATTATTCATTTTTCTGAGAAGCTTTAGATCGATTTATTTATGTTTTAACAATAGGATTATGTTCAAAGTTCACGTTTTGAACATAATCCTACTGACAGAAACATTGAAGTGAAGAAGACAGAACATTTTGTGGTTTGCAGGAGGAATATGATACTTTAAAAATTGCAGCTTTTGTGATTTACTAATTTTGCCCATTCAGATTGTGATTTCCTTTCGATTGTGATTAATTTTTCCAGCCCTCATTTTCCTCTTTCGTCCTCGGCTCTTTTCCGATATCTGTCCTCTTGTCCTCAGCTCTGACGCGATATGTTTCTCGTCTCCAGCCCTGATCCGATTTGTCTCTCGTCCTCTCCAGGTCTGATCCGGTTACAGGAGCTCATAAAGGCCCCGTCGAGGTACAACATTCGTCTGAAGATCCGTCAGCTCCCGGCCGACACCAAAGACGCCAAACCTCTGCTGAAGGAGATGAAGCGAGGCAAGGAGTTCCACATCATCTTCGACTGTGGACACGAGATGGCCGCCGGGATCCTCAGACAGGTGTGTGCGAGCGACTTTTTACATTCACACTGAAAGAGAACGATCACGGGCATTTTATCGAGTTTTAGAATAGTTTGCATTAAAGGTTGTATGGAGGATTTTTTTTTTGTTTCAAATTGTCAGTGATAGATTATAGATGCAGTAGCCTTGTAATTATGATGACCCAAAAAAAGAGAATAAAAATTCATCAACTCTGGACGTGGTGGGGCTAAACATTTGCCAATAGATAACGACACTGCCTCGTTATCTGTGAGCTGACAGGCTGTCAATCAAACTCCCTACGTTTCTAGCGTAACTGACTTGCCTGCGCTGCCGGTACGTGGTTTACGTACGACTGTCACGCAGTCCACAGACGCAAGACGCACAGACGCTGTTTACTCCACCAACGCAACAGTTCTTAGCGGCTTTTTTTGACCTATATCTTCCTCGCAGTTTGCACAAAGTTTGTTGCAATGGCGACAAGAATCCAGGAGCAGTTCGCCGCAAAAGAAAGTCCGTTTTTGAGGTCGCTGAAAGAAGAAGACAAGGGGAAAAGCAGCGAAGCCAAACTAAGGTGATTCTTGTAGATTCATTCTTCCAGCGATGGCGCGACTGAAGCAGACGCAGGGTCTAAAGACTGACGCACTGGTCCACAAATTACTCCTGGACAGGAAACTTCTGCTTATTATGAAAACGTACTTTATTTCCAAGAGTTAGACAAACGTTTTTCAGGACACGAAAGCGATATCCTATGTCTGAAAACGTAATTTTCAAGGCAAAGAAAGAGTCCGCTTGCTGCTGCGTGTTGTAGCTAGTTCATTCGCACTGAATCTCCGCGCACCCTTCTCTGCACCCCTTTCCTGCTCCTGTCCCCGGTGCCTGTTCCGCTCTTCCCCAGCTCCTCACTTCTCCGGGCACGGAATCTCCACGCACCCGCTCCCCCGCTCCTCACTTCTCCGTCTTGCCTAACCAACACTGTAGTTAGTTGTTTACAAGTCATGTGCAGCGCACCGGCTGTAAACAAACCTGTTTGTGGCGTAAGGAGGAGGAGGGAGGAGGTGTTTCTACGTAGGAGCTGTAGGGGAGGGGAGGTGGTTTCACGCATGCGCAACATTTGAAAAAGGACAAACAGTCGCTGGATTTCTCGTTCCTTGGAAAATCCTCTATACAACCTTTAAGATGTGAAACTGGGAGACACGACATAAATATTGTTTTAAATCTGGTTTTGATCTCTACTACTACGATTATTAGGGATAACTTTCATTTCACTGCAGAGAATGATTCTAAAAGTCCTTCTTGACACATAAACACTGGTATTTCGTGTTTTAAATTGTCACATATTGTACAAGAGAAAAATGTTGCTTTTATTCACATGAATGCACTGTTGGAAAAGAAGATTTTTATCTTCTTTTCCAACAGTGGAAAAGAAGCTTAACTTCACGGTGTCATAGGAGAAGTCCACAACAGGTGCTCCTCAAGGACAAGGCTACAACACATAGTGAAGATGACCAGGCTTGTAATGTAAAAACTTACTGTGATAAAAGTAAAAAATGGTCAAAAAGTCTGATGCGAACCCTGTTGGAATTAGAGTAAAAGTTCTGTAATGGTCACATGGGATAAGCCAATGTGTTTCGAGACACATGGCGTCTTTGTCAGGGCAAATCACATCAGACTTTTATCTTTTGATTCTATATTTATTAGTGTTGTTGTACTTGAGACTGGCCTCGTGTGAATGTTTTTACGGTATTGGTCTCGTCTAGGACCCTAGCGCATTTGGACTCAGTCTTGTCTCGGTCTTGAAGACACTTGGACTCGGTCTTGTCTCGGTCTTGAAGACGCTTGGACTCGGTCTTGTCTTGGTCTTGAAGACGCTTGGACTCGGTCTTGTCTCGGTCTTGAAGGAGCTTGGACTCGGTCTTGTCTCGGTCTTGAAGACGCTTGGACTCGGTCTTGTCTCGGTCTTGAAGGAGCTTGGACTCGGTCTTGTCTCGGTCTTGAAGACGCTTGGACTCGGTCTTGTCTCGGTCTTGAAGGAGCTTGGACTCGGTCTTGTCTCGGTCTTGAAGACGCTTGGACTCGGTCTTGTCTCGGTCTTGAATGCATTTGGACTCGGTCGGGCTCGAGGTCTGCCACTTGACGAGTGCGAGTGCATATTTCATTACAGTCACTGCTTTTGGCAATAAACTTACAGCAGTGTGCGGGAGCGTGGGGCGTCTCTCTGCAGCCTGAGCGCTCGTCTGGAGCCCGTGGACACTGTGCAGCACGTCACAAACACACAGTGCGCGGCTTGTTTGGTACAGCGTGTATCACAGGGCAGGTTAAACTTCTTAAAACATCCTACCTGTCCATCCGCCTCACATCCGCACGCTGCTCCTCGCCTTTTCACGCTCTCGTTCCTCCAAGCCTGTAGTGCACAGAGGCTCTACAGTGTCCACACAGAGCAGGTCTACAGCACAGAGCAGATCTACGGTCACATGTGGCTGAAGTTTGCCTCGTAAAAGTGCACATCTAAACCATTTGTATTTGTCACGACATGCGTTTGGTAAATGTACAGAGACTGATCAACATCACCACAACACCAACCAAGAGAATGTAACTCCAGTTAGGAAAACAGGTTAAAAAATCTGACACATTTTCACTTTGAAACAGTTTTCTGTAAAGGCCAGTGGAAGTTCTCTTAAAGAAAGGGGTTAGGGTCCAAAGAGGGGCACAGGGTGTTTTAGAACAGTGCAGTTTGCTTGGTTTATTTTAATCTTAAATTAACATTTATCAGTTAAAATGGAGATAGATTTATTAAAAACAAAACAAACAAAAAACACTGATATAAATGTGCCAAAATAACTGTAAAATACAAATAAATGTTGAAAATGACAAAGATGGTCTCGATTTGGTCTTGATGGGTCGTGGTCTTGGTCTTGTCTCGGTCTTGGGTCCCTGTGGTCTTGGACTGGTCTTGGTCTCGATGAGTGCGGTCTTGACTACAACACTAAAATTTGGAGTAATAATTTGTAGAAAAGGACTTTAGTTTATTTTGCTGAATTCTCAAGCAACAAATATTTTGAATTTACCTGCGACATGATACTATTTTCCCTCAAGGTGCACAAAATAACTTTTTGTCACGTAGTCGTCTCAAAGTTTGCAGAGTGTAGCATTAAAATCATCTCCATGGAAACAGCCGGGGCAAATAACAAGGCAAATCTGTGGAGAGGCATGCCAGCTCACAGTAAGAATGCATGTGTGTTAAAGTATTTTTAGCAATAAAACACCTCAAACTGCAAAGACACACATTTAATCCAGATCTCCATGGCGACAAGCACACAGCGTTTTTACTGTAACTAGACTTGACTTATTTGGCCGAGTCTGAGTGTTCACACAAGTTCATACTTAGGGCACAACTTAGGGGTCACGACATTTTCAGGGGAGTCCAAATGTCCAGTCGGTGAAAAAGTAGTGCGCTGAAAATTTCACACAATGCACCTTGAAATGCTGGACAGGTCGATATTGAGCAGGGGAGGGCAATTATTTTTTTCCAGGGGCCACATGAAACGGAAAATATTCGTGGACGACCAAATTCTTTAACTTAATTCTGCGTAATATTAATTGTATTTATTTGTGAGCTGCTCAGACTGGGTCAAGTAAGTCTCAAGTCTCTGACCTCAAGTCCGAGTCAAGTCCCAGGTCAAATACAGACGAGTCCAAGTCGAGTCTCGAGTCACTGGCTCGTAAGTCCAAGTCAAGTTCAAGTCATTTCAAGTCTTTAAAACAACGTACCAAATATAGCAATTTATACGACTTTTAAACCAAATTGTACTTAAAAATCATGGTATGTTTATATATGAGTATTTATAGAGTATTTAAGAGTTGTAGAAGTGTTAATTTTTCATTTTTAAACGTCTTAACAAGATCTTAGTGTGAATCATTCAGTTAGAATAGAAAGAGTCGGTGGGTTTCACGTGACGTCACAGGGCTACGTTTGTCAGGACGCAAAATCAGACGGAGGGCAGGAAGTGAACGGACTGGAGGAAAATGCCGATGTGTTGTGTAGTTTACGGACTGCGCCAATCGTTCTAACCGAGAGAAGGAAAAGCGTTTTTTTTTAGAGTACCGAAGATAGTCGTCCACAAAGGTCAGAAATGGGAAAAGCCGACAGAACAACGCCGTAAAAAGTGGATTACAAACCTGTTTGCGGTCGGGAGGAGCAGAATTCGCTAATGCTCGTGTCTGCAGCGACCACTTCGTCAAAGGTTTGTTACAAAGATAAACTGTTTTTTGTGGTTTACCTAAACATAAACGAATCATTAACGACTAACGGCGAACGACGTTTGTTGACATTAAATAGTTCAGATCAGGTCACTGCCGATACACTGCAGTTTTTCCCATAACGTCTATACACATAAAATAAGAGAAACACTCACCCCGGCGAAGACCAAACCATAATCATCATTTAGGCGTTTTGCACCAACGTTGAGGATCCATCCACTGACAAAAAAAGTTCTGTGCCTCCAAACTTTTGTACTTTGCCTTCATCTGTTGTCTGGTGTAGAACGATGTCTGAAGAGCTAAATAGTTCGTGATCTCCTCTGCCTCGATTATCGGCAAATCTTTTACTTCGGTTGAAAATTCTCTCATTTTCAATAAGATCGGGGTCACGCTCAATATATTTGTCGACTAACTGCTCGTACTTTTGCCTCGCTCCTGGCTCTAAATCCTGACAATAAGAACTCTTCTCCATATCTGTGTCGTCCAGAGTCGTGTTTGTCGTGTTTGTCTTCACTTCCTGCCCTCCACCTGAAATTCGCGCCTCATCGTGATCACGTGACTGAAACCCTCCTATTCAGATTTAAAAATGCTTCTCATGTCTTAAGTCACTGGCCTCAAGTCCGAGTCAAGTCCCAAGTCTTAGTCCATTTTAAATCAAGTCTCAAGACTGACTTAAGTCCAAGTCCCCACCTCTGTGACTAAGCAATGAAAAAGTACGACGGAGTATAAGGGTCAGATAAAAAATAAATAAATAAAAAAAA